AGAAATTCAGTATTTTTTCCCTTTATTTCATTAACAAGTAGTCGCAATGGGTCCTCGTAAAATTAAGGATTAAATATCACTTGTGTTTTCAGAAGTCGCTGAAACTTTCCCCATTCCCTCCCTTATGGGAAGCCTGTCCCCACAACCTTTCCCTGACAATCCGTCTGTACTGTTTCAAACTCCTGGGAAGAGAGAAGCAATTTGAGAGTAAATTGTGTTGCCTAAGAGATCGACACAATACAACAATGTGACCCGGGAAAGAAACCTGACCATTTGACCCAGCCCACGAATCACTACGCCGACAATACGCCAGTGGGTCTCCTACTGGTACAAATTGGGAGAGATAAAGGTCCAAGAGCTGAACCTTGATCACTGATTTCCAGCAAGGGACGGACGACACAAGTAAAATAAGTCTTCGCCACAAGATAATACAAATCCGATTTTTAATCATTTATCGACAATAAGAAGTGAAGGGAGGCAAGTAGAGGTACAAAAGGTACACAGCTCTTCACTATCACAAAGAAAAGATCATCTTACACTTGTTCCAGAGTAAGATAATATGTACTTATTGACTGAGCAGAAGGGCCATACGGGAGAAAAACATCTGGCTCGAGGCCGTGACGTACGGACCGAGTAGACTAAGCTTTGAAAATTACGAAAATTTGTTCCAACCTAATTGGGACGCGGTATGAAGGAGCGATCGACACCAACAGAAAAATGAGTCGACAATAAAAAATAAAAAAAATTTCGTTTTATAAGTCAGAGAAAAAACTCGCAATTTATCGAAAAACGTGACTCTTTTACTCTTTTCGGACGGCTTTATCCGGCTTTATTATGAGTCGGTCCGACTCATGTCAACCCGTCCAGCCCTAAACACGTTGGCTTTTACCATGCGTACCGTAAGGTTCATGTAATAATAACGAACAAAATGAGCTGTTATTGTACTCTACCAACCCAATTGTGCATTCTAAATTTTTTATCAAACAATTTAAAAGTGGAGGACATAAGAATTTTCCCTAATCATGATCTTTTTATAACAAATGTTATGCCATTTTTCTATTTCATTTCAACAAGTTCAATTGCGCAAAATTGACATTATGTATATCTTATCAACCAAGCGCGAGGGCCGTACTGGGAGAATATCGGCCCGAGGTCTTGACAGTACGGACCGAGCGCAGCGAGGTCCGTACAAAAAAAGACCGAGGGCCCATATTCTTTCAGTACGGTCCCGAGCAAGCCTGGTTAATAAGAAATTTATTATACGACTGAAGTTCAAAGGGACGCAAGTGCGGTATCATTCGGGAACATTCGGGACAGTGCCCGGTCCAATACTTAGAGAATATTGACCGGCAATAGAACATTTTGATTGGTTGATTTTAGTTATTGGCCCTGTGACTGCCCGAGTCGTGTAATAAGACTTGGCATTTACTCTAACGTATAATTATAATTACTAGTTCTTCCACCTTAAAAATATTATCAATCTCTAATTTTTCATATTAAACCATTCACTAGATCACCTAAGGAGGTCTTATAGTTGTAAGTTTAGAAAGATCGTTCAGTTGAATTTCCCATATCTGCTCTGGAATGTTATCACAATGTTCCATAACTGGATAACCTTTATTAGTCGCGGTCACGCAGTTGTTGGTAATCACATGAAGTAATTTCTTGTCCTGTGAAAGACAAAGAAACAGAAAACATTACGGAAATATTTCATGGGCAGAACAATAGCTTAACAGGTGCGTTTTGAAACTTTGTACGTGTCTTAGTAGTCCTCTGCAAAAAAAAAACAACAACAACAACAACATTAAATCACCAAAATTTGCCTAATCTGAGAACGGAATCCCCGACTGCAAATTATCTAAGTTTCTAAACAGAACTTACAAATACTTTAATAACTTACAACTACTTTTAATAACTTACAAATATTTTATTAGCTGGCCTCGTTTATTATCATGGAAGTGTCCAATGCACAAATTTGAGTGATGGGACGTAACCTCCTTACACCGCAGACGATAGAGACTGTTGCAGTCATTAATTAACAAATGGCTGTGGTGTTTACCATTTGTTTTATAACATAACATTGATACATTGTAGCTCAAGAGTTCCCTTTTATTTAACAAATCTTACGTGACCAGAAAAAACAATCGCGCGCGGAAAAATAGTCTTTGCATTTGCTCACGTCAGCAGCGTACACCCATGGGCAAATGGGGGACGCTAAATTGACCAACCAGAGCGCGCGCTTTACTTAAGTTATGTTATAATTTCATTTCTTATTACCTTGGTGTATTTAAACTCTTGGTTTCCCTTCAGTTCGTGGCAGCCATAAAGTGTTATCTTGGCTCCACTGTGACCTTGACTTACATCTAGGCAGGCTTCATCTTGTCGGAATTCATCAAGAAATGTGTATTGGAAAGCCTGGACAGACAGAAAAAAAAAAACATCATGTCATTGTCAGCTGTTATCTAAGCAACGTGTCACAATATCTTGCAAAAAAGTATTCCGCAGTATGTGTGGGTAGCGAATATAAGACAACATTCCGTGACCACTTTTCTAGATTTTGATCATTTTTATGTTGAAAAAATATATACTGTTTTCAATTGGCATGTCTGTTGAGTTTAAGAGTTGTTCTTGGTTGATTTTTGTTTATACAGTGAAACCTCCATTCAGGGCACACCCTATGGACCAAGGCAAGTCCCCCTGAATAGAGATGGTTTTGGGGGTTTGTTAGTAACTAACCACCGAAAATAAAAAGGAAGGTTTGGTTTGTACAATGATGACTGAAGTCAAATTGTCAAGCCGTTACAGCTCCTAATGTGCGCATATTTTTACGCTTGGCGTTTCGACTTCGGAAAAAGAAACCCTGACCTGTTAACCTTTTATATGTGTTATCATATGGTGTACATATGGTGTGCAATACGGTATTTTATTACACGACTCGGGCAGTCAGAGGGCCAATAACTAAAATCATCCAATCAAAATGCTCTATTGCCGGTCAATATTCTCTCAGTATTGGACCGGGCAATGTCCCGAATGGTCCCGAATGATACTGCACTTGTGTCCCTTTGAAATTCAGTCGTATAATAAATCTCTTATTAACCAAGCTTGCTCGGGACCGTACTGGAAGAATATCAGCCCTCGGTCTTTTTTGTACGGACCTCACTGCGCTCGGTCCGTACTGTCAAGACCTCGGGCCGATATTCTCCCAGTACGGCCCTCGCGCTTGGTTAATAAGATAATTGCATAGGTCATGATCATTGTGATTACTGTACATGTAATCTTCGAGACGAGTAAAATTTAGAGAGATTGAGGTGTCCCCTGGCTGAATGGAGAGTCAAACTCGACTTTGGTGGCCAGAAAAAGGGTTCCTATTCACTGAGTAGAGGTGTCCTTCCAATAAAGGTAACAGTTACACAGATTATATGAACACTTTTCTTGGACCAAAGTTTGTGTTCCCTTAAAAGCGGAATCCCAAAGGAGAATTTCCCCTGTATTTGTCTACAAATGTATTTCCATTTCGCTAAAGAACTATATTCTGAAACAGGGAAACTAAAAGCGAAGTCGTGTGAGCGGCTTCGACGAAAGAAGGCATTGAAGTTCAGCTTTTTTTACAATATTGTACATTTGTGAAAACTGCATGAAACAGATATTTACCTGGTTTCCCATCATGCCGTGGCAAGTTACCAGTCCCACCTCCCCTCCAGCTTTCCTTCCCATCGTGTCCAGGCAAAGATTGGTGCTCGGGTTTCGAATCTGCAGAGATGTAAGTAAACTTAACGAATGCATTGGCTAATTAATACATCAATGATTCCAAATTTGGCAGTGGCATAATTCACTTCACAAGGGGGCTCTCCCTTAAGTAGTCAAGCTACAAGTGAAGAGTTTTGAGTAAATATGACTCACGACACGAGGAAATGTAATTTTCAAAACCCTTTCCACTCGAGAAGCACTATGGGTTTCTCCTTTGTACTCCCTGTTATTAAGTTTGAATTCGTACAACACTGTATTGAAAAATAACCCAGCTTTTTCTCCCAATGGAACTCGCAACTAAGATGTACTGTACATCGATGTTGCCGGGATTTCTAGTAAATGAGCAAGGTGACTCCTCCGTTTTTTATTCCCCAAAACCAACAATCAATAACTTCGAACTTGTTACACAGCTTCATTCCAAAACCAACTTGTATGGAACGTAACGTTTTAGCCATAAAAACAGCGCAACAGCTTTAGCGCAAAGTTATTTGAAGTAAGCCGAGATTGTGTTGGTTTGTCTTTACTTCGCTCGGTAATTGGCCCAAAAAACTCGCGCCACTCACTCAACCAATCAGACGCGAGCGACCAATTCCATGAACGACTTGGTCAGCCGCGTTTTCCCGCACTTTAGGCGATTCGATTGTTTTTACTTTGAATTCTCATTGGCTCTCAAAGATATTTTCCTTTCTTTTGAGTGGTTGTTGCGATGACTTGGGTTAAAGTTTTACGATACTCAGTGGAAAAGCGCTCTTCTCCAACAGGTAATCAATAAAACATAACAGCGAAGAAGAAAGAGTTCCCGCGAAGGAATCGGACCTCAGAACTTCGGATTCTGCGCTCCCACACCTCTACCACTCAACCACAGAGACTCTTCAGTGAGCCAAGTTACTACCAGCTTCATCTAAGATATGCGTCTCGCATACTGTTGGTATTACCAATGTTGGAAGCTCCGTATCGGTTTATAGAAAAAGGAAGATATTCAGTTTTAAGCTCGGTAGTGGAATGAAGAGCTGTTTCTTTTCTCGTTATGTCACGAACTTGGGTCAAAGAAACGTGGACAAACCAACAAAAAAACAAACAAAAATCATCTTTCTTCAAAACATAGTCGTACACTTAAAAAGCAACATACCGGTCCGTTAGCTTTGAGAGGTTCATAAATCGACCTGACAGTATCATTGGCCACATTCTCCATATACCACTTGAAACTTTTACATTTGAGCTTTTCCCGCAGTGCAAGTCGATCGCTGATATCTCCAGGGTCGACATTTTTAAGTTCGGGTTTCTTGTCATAAAGCCATTCCTTGTACTCGTCCATCCACACTTCCGCCACGCGCTTGAAGTTTATAAGAGTGGCGTCTGCCTTGGGGTATGAGTATGGTACATGATGTCTGTAGACATGTCCCACTCGGGAACAAGGAATGTTCTCAAGTTGGCCACCACACTGCCAGAGCTTTAGAAATGAAAAAAGATCCATCGGGAACCTTAATGACATCACTTTAATCCCGAAAATCAATGTGCGTATTCCAATGCTGTCTTTTACCCTTCTCCTGCAAAAACGTCGCCTATTTTCCCCTTTTCACACTAAACTGAGAATGAATTCATAATAGCGCTGGTAATTTTAAGAGATACGATACTGAAAAGGAGAATTGTTTAACAATCGAGAGCTTCTTTAGAGGGCGATCATTTCCTCTATCCTCATAACTCAGGTGTTTGATTCACTGGTGATACTGTTACGAGAACTTTAATGCACTCTCGAGGGCTCAGAGCTTAATTAATCGTCCCTTTACACGTGCTTCCCATTTTCGTCTCTTCATACGAAGTGCAAAAACACTTAGTAACAATACTTGTATCCTCAAAACCATTTTCAGTCCAGTTGAGTGTCAAAAGTTAGGTAGGAATAGCTCATTTCCGAATTACCTTTAAACTCTCAGGACTCGACACTAACTTTTCAACTTACTAAACCAAGTGGCTAGTGACAACTTAGATGTTACAACAATTTCAGTTTGTTTACTAGCCAAACTGGCTGCTGGAAATCGAAAACCACTAGCCAAAACTGAATTTCTACTAGTCTGTGGCTAGTTGGCTACTGCATGTTAATGTTGAGCCCTGCCTCTTTTTCAAAGCTAATTCGGGTGCTCATCCTTTAATGTGATAATAAGTTTTCATTCACATGTAAATTAAACTCATTTTCACAAGAATGGTTGAGCAACAGGCCTCGTTTTGACAAGAGCCAAAGAATACTTCGGAAATGGCCAATCGCTTTGCTTTGCCTTCCTTCGTTCAGCGTGATTGTAAAGAAAACTCGAGTTATGAAACCTCTTTAACTCCCAAGATCTGATTGCTAAATTAATTCTCCAAACTAGGTGCTACTCATTTCCTTATAAATTAGTTATGGGAATTTTGTGTCAAATCAATAACTTCTACCTGATAAGTTTGATTATTCTCACTACCTGCTAACTGGATAATGCATGGATATTACTGGGAGAAGTTACAGGTTAATCACTTCTGGGAGTTAAAGTTAGTAAATTAGATGCAAAACAAGAAATCATTGCTCCTTGTTTATCCAAGTTCTCTGCAATGCAGGCAGCATCCTTGTTTTTACTTTGAGTTCAGGTGTTCCAGCCAATAGCCTTATTATGTCAAGGTCTAAAATTGCAACCATATGGTTGCTATTTCCGCTGAGAATTGACAATTGAGGACCAGAATTTTAATATTGAGAACAGCTGCACTCATGATATGACACTCCTGGGTATCACTTCCTGCGTCATGAATGAAATTAACAGCCCTATAATGGTAATTTAACTAATTTTTTCTTTTTTCATTTTCCCAGTGTCCAGTCAATTACAGATTGCAGATCACAGTGAGCCATCAGTGAACACAACACTTTGGCAGGGTTAGTAATTTAATTCTTTAAACCTTTAATCCCAGAGGTGATTAACCTGTAACTTCTCCCTATAATATCCATACATGATCCAGCAAACAGGTAATGAGAATACTCAAACTTATCAGGTAGAAGTTGTTACCTTGATAAAACACCAAATTCTCGTAACCAATTTACAAGGAAATGTGTAGCAGCTAGAGGGGAGATTTCATAATCAGATCTTGGGAATTAAAGAGTTAATCTGATTGTTAATTCTCCCCTCCAATTGCTACACATTTCCTTCTAAAATAGTTATGAGAATTTAGTGTTAGATCAAAATAACAACTTCTACCAGATAAGTTTGTTAATCACATCTACTTTTAAAAGTACATATTTCACAGCATGAAGATGTTATTATTAATAAGACGCCTGGAAAATAAAGAAAAATAAAGGCAGAGAAAAAGGTCAACAACATGGGATGTTATGTAAGGTCACCCATCCAAGTAATAACCCCTGCCAATGGGTTTAACTTCAGTGAGACGCACAAGCACATGGCTACCAAGCATTATTTCCATAACTGATTACAATGACACTCGAGCAAATTTTTAAAGTGGTTTGCCACAGGCATTCCATGCAAAAATCTTACCTTGAATGACAGTTCATACTGCTCGCCTCCCCAGATAAACATTCCTGGATCATATTGTCCCAGCTCACTGAAAAACTCTCTGTTGATTGCAAACAACCCACCAGCCATAACAGGAGACCTGCAAAGGAATATTTGCAATTTAAGCAGGAGGTCTGAGGTGCAAGAGTGGGACATGCGGTCAGCTTATTCGGCCGGAAAGCCCAGAAGACTCGGAAAGCTCATTCTGACTGATGTCACCAGTTTCCATATCAAGCAACAACAGGGGAAATTGCTTCACCCACCCAGATCCTGTTTTTCAAAAGACCCAGAAACCTCATGGGCCTCGAAAAGGTAATTCTAGTCTTCTGTGTTCCATTCAAAAATGAGATATTGACAGTTTTGAAATTTATGCAATAAAAAATATCAGGAAAGGAAATAGAATAAACTGGTTCCTAAACTTGTATGTAAATCGACACTACATTTCCTTAGAATTAGGTCCACAGAGTTACCAACTGAAGACTTTCTAGAAATGGGCACCTAGAGGGGATGCTGGTCTATCTAAGTTACCTTTCATGAGTTTTACAGGTTTTTAGTTTACATGGGTGCAAGGATGTGAACGGGCTCTGACCTACCTAACTTCTTGAGTAGGATCTTTCCTCTTCTTCATCTCTTCTGGACGCACTGGCCTCTCTTTGTAATCAAATCTCCAGTTGAAGGTTCCTCGTATATATGGGTCCATAGGCTTATACTGAAAAGTGTTATGATCTATGAAGTCTATAGTAGGGCACACTGCTGTCCTTCGATCAAGGGCTATCCTTTCAAGCAGAGGAGGGAGCCAGCCTACATTAGCCTCGCAATGTGCATCAAGGAAGAGAACAACTTCCCCAATGGCATTACTCGCACCAATGGATCGAGCCTTTATCAGTCCAACCCTTTCTTTAGTTCTGACAATTCTTATCTTTCCTAGTTTTCTTGTGTAGTCATCCAGTTTCTTCTTGAGATGTTCTGTAAATGAAATCATCATTAGCAACACAAGCAGAGGAAAATTATCTTTGACATGGGCTTGAGAGTGGGGAGGTTTGGGTTGGGTCACTGGAATCCAGATTGACAGGTCTGAGTTTAGTATGTGACTGGGACAGCTGAATAACAAATGCTACATCAGAGGGTATCCGGTCAACAACACTGGTCCAGGCATGCGAGGTCTAAAATTTAGCAAAATTAGTAGAAAATAATAAGGGTCAACATTTAAACTAAGGCATTTTGTTGTCCTCAAGGCATTTTCCTATTTCCAGAGTTTTTAAGGAGAAAATTAATTTTCGAAAATTTCTAGGGGGTGTACAAAGTTTTTGGAGGTTGTTCTGTAAAAGAAAAGTAGCGAGGAAAATGACGCCCCAAAGCACCAGCTGAATAGGAAATCAACCATGCATGATTTTATCTTTACTTTTTCATTCTACTAACAGTTACATGAGTTTTCTAATAAAACACAATCCTGAAATCTGTCTTAATTGACACTTCTCTACAATCCTACGTTTATCCACTCCATGGAAACACATATAAAACAAATTTTACAAAGAGTTTACCCACCTTTATCACTAAAATCATCCACCATCACTATTTCCTGGAGCATGCGTGGAGGTGACCTGTTTATGACACTGTGAACTGTTCTTAATAATGTGGACCAACCTTCATTGTGGAAAACTATGACTACACTAGCTTTGGGAAGACTTTGTGGATATTTACGTTCCTTGCACCTGAAAAAGAGAATCAATCAAAAAACGCAACTCTTATTTATGGTGGATTACCTAAGTGTTGTGACAGTGATGTAAATAAGCACAAGTTTGGTTTCATCAACCTTTTGACTGCTAAGAGTGACTAGCATCTAATTTCTCCTGACATGTCGCGAGAATAAAGGAAATGATCACCATCGTTACCTAATAATAATAATAATAATAATAATAATAATTTAATATTATATTGTGCAAATTAACATGTGGATATGATCAAATGCGCATCACAACACTTTTTGGGGGACTTTGGCTGGACTGCATCAGCAGTTTACAAACAATTGAATGAAACTTATGAGGTAAGTTTTATCAGTCAACAGGCCAGACCACATCACAGTAATCTCGTGAGTGCATTCTTTAACGTCCTCTGCAAATCCAAATTAAGTAATAATAGATGCAGGAGACGGGACCTACGGTTTATTCATCCTTGTCCGAGAAGACTAAAATGTCTATCCATTTCTTGATATTATAGAAAGGTAGCGCATTCTCCTCAGTTATTTTAAGACCTTGAGTGTTGGTCCGGCCAGGGCTCGAACCATCGACCTCAACCTCCCGCACAACAGTCCAGCGCTCTAACCAATTGAGCAAACCGGGAGGTGATGCATGTGCAGTGCAGTAATTAATAATCATCTGTGTACAAAGCTTAAAACAGTACTGTGTTGTACATGTGGGTCAGCATGACCCCATACAGTTATTGCAACAAAATAAAGAATTTGAATGAATTATTCTTAAAGTAGAAACTTTGATAAAGGTTTCTAATAACAGTGGTATGGACAAATTGAATGCCACAAGAATAAGGAAATTATTCTGCATCTTCTAAGCAAATTGCTTCCTCATTTAAAAAAGATTAAAAAATATCATAGTGAAGAATTTAGTTTTGAAAACAGCATTCAGGCAAGGCTAAGAAGTTTGAAAGTAATAGTTTTGTGCTTAGTTGCCAAGCCTTTGATTTGTAGTGAGGCTAAAGGTGACCTTGTTGTGATAGAGATCTGCACTATCTAAACCTAAACTTTAAACTTTGATGTTTTGTTCAATGCAAAAAGACTACAAGTATTGACAAGAAAATCCTAAACAGGAAACAACTTCCCTCACTGAAGGGTTACCTAAAATTCACAATGAATAATAAATAAAACAGCTGAAAAAAAAAAGCATGATAACAAAATAATTTACATTTGAAAAGAATAACTCAAGATAACCCTTAGCCTCACTCCTGTTCAAAACCTCAATAACCAAGTTAACATGATAAAAACATAATTAACATTTGAAAAGCAGCAATTTTTGTATCACAACAAGGTCACCCTTAAGAATAAAGGCTGATAGTTTTGAAGAGAAACTGTTTGGGGCTGCGTCGGTGGGAGTAACGAAATAATTTGGATATATCAACAAAGTTCAAATGGTAAATTGGCCACTGTAACAATTACAAAATCTGACGTTTTGAGCGTTAGCCCTTCGTTGGAGCGAAAGTCACCCTTAGCCTTACTCCTGCTCAAAGGCATGGGAACCAAGCATGCAACTGTAAATAAAATAATTTACATAAATAATTTATCTAAAGTTGATAATGCAGGAAGTGGTTGCCCAATCTTCAGAGCCAGTGGCTCATGTTAAAAACACTTGTCTCTAGATCAAATTGGAATTTTAAATGTTGGTTTTTGTGGAGGGAGGAAAACCAGAGGTCACAGAGAAAAACCCTCAGAGCAGGGACAAGGACCAACAACAAGCTCAACCCGCATGTGATGCCAGGTTCAGGAATCAAACCCAGGCCACAGTGGTGAGAGGTGAGTGCTCTCACCCCTGCAACATCCCTGCTCCAGGCTCCCTCTGTAAAATGGACCATTGTAAACTCTGAGTTCTCTGAACTTGTGGAGACTAGGCTGAATATTCAAGATAAGCAAGAGTCTAGATGATTGAAAAAATGAATATTAATTAGCTAAAAAGCTCGGGATTGACTGTATTAAATCAGAACAAAAAGAAATAGACTAGTCAACTCTCTTCCTTATGGATGAATTGACCTACTGAACAAGAAATCTCATTGCAAATTCAAAAGAAACATTCAAAATAAAAGCATCATCTCCAAAAGATAAACATCATGCCAAGTTTACATTCTACCCATTGTTTGGACTTGGATGTAATATCATAAGGCTGACGGTGATAAGTTTTGTATAAAGAATACATTTGGTAGCACTTAATAATTTATCAACTACATGTCTGATACACGTACACTGAAAGTTCATATTCATTGAAAGAGATCAGAGAAAACACTTTAACCCGTATCCCATTGCTAATTTGCGAACAATCACATATTTTCAAAAAGGAAATTTTTCGGTGATTCACACGAAAAATTTCAAAAAGTCAAAAAGTTACCGAGAAATTCTTACTTCGAGTAATTCTGAAAAAGAAAAAAAAATAGGATATCGCTTCTAGATCACTGGAATTGCAATTCAAGACTAAATGTGGGCCAACGTCTTGTTAGAATGATTCGTTCCTGTTTCATCTAATGAAATTACTGAGGTGCTTATTAATTTTTCAAAGGTTTTGACCTATTTTTTCCAAACAGCTCGATCACCGAAGCCAAAACAAAACAAAACAAAACAGAGAATGCGTTGGATGTACTTACGCAAAATGTCTTGTATCCTTAAGCGGACGTTCCAAGGAAATTTTATCGCTAATATGTTGATTGAAACCATACTCAGCGTAAGCACTATCTTTCAAGTGTTCGCTTCCAGCTTCTGTTTCTACAGGCTCCCCATAAGAGCCTGGCCCTCGGGGAATGTTTTTCTCCTTCTCCGGTGTCCAGAAATCCTCAATCCTGACCATTTCACCGAGCCTTGGGTGTGAATTTGCCACGTGGATAGGGTCGAGTTTATATTTCGCACAACCACTGAACCCGCAGTTTACGAAAAGATAAACAATAGTGCAGATCAACAACGCTGCCAAACATTTACAAGTTCTTTTCAACTTAAATCGCATGATCGAACTGTAAAACAAAGGATGCCTATGGTAAACTGAAACGATCGAACAATCTTACGATAAAAAATGTACTACAGAACAATAATGTTTCCACGCAAATAGCAGAATATTGACAGTCTTCCGTCGAAGAGCTGATCGGCTGAATCAAATGTTTTCTAGCATATTGGCTGTAAACTCCACTGGAAATTCCAAAAATAATGCTAAATCTAGTACAGTAACTTTCTCTTGATTTCCAGAGCTTTTTCAATCTTTATGTCCAAACATAAGTTTCCAACAAGACCAGCTTTCCCACACGATCACAGACTCCTTACCGGTAAGTTGCAAATGCACGGAACACAAAGTGTTTGTCTCACCGCACTCGATATCGCAATTTTAAAGGAGAACAATAAAACCAGTTAAGACAATTAAATTTGAAGCAAGCGATTCCCCATCAAATTCCACAGAGTATGGAATAAACAATGGAAGATACTCAATCTAAATCAGACACAAGATATAACTCTCACGGTGAATGAACCCTCCAATGCCACAAAACTGCGGGTAAAAAATCTTCCACGCTTCTCCTAGAGACATCGTCCAGTTGAATATTTCTCCACTGAGCTCTGGTTAATGTTGTTTACCATTACTTTCGAAGAAATTCCAAAAAGAAAAACTTAACGACTAAAGAAAATTAAAAAATAATATAATTTATTGATATTTAACCAGCAGTATTTGTTTTAATCCTACTTCCGTTGTATAAGGCGCATGAACTTTTCCAAAGCTTGTTTCTGAGGTGTCCTTGAGGTGGAACGAGAATTTTCTTGCTAGATGTTGACACCTTGATAGTTATACAATTACAGCCTTCATTTTCGAACCTGACAGATACTGGCCTATCTAGCTGAGACTTTAGAATAGCATGATTTTTTCTGCTGTCGATGTGATGGCCAGGGATGACCAACCTTTGCAAGTATTTTTCACATTCTTTTTTCTTCTACAAGTTTGTCAAGGCCGAGAACTTCATTGTAATACTGACAATTGTGGCGATGAAGCAAACAAATATGATGAACGCTCCACATCGCAAACTCTTATAGAGGAGAGCCTGTTCATGATTTCTCCACAAGATTTTTACTATAATTTTGTGGTGAAACATATGCCGTTCGTGATGAGGAAGGTAGCTAGGAACTGGCCAGCGTATACGGTAGGAAAGCAAGTATTTATTATTTTTTAGCAAATAAAATAAAATTGTAATTACTTCTAAACATAAGCATAGCATACTTGTATATATACTTTCTCGCGAAGAAACTGGCAAAAGCGTGTTGGACGTAACTCTCAAAAACTGCATATAGACAGCTAACTCAATTTTTTATGAATAATTTTTCAAGAGGGATGAAAACTTTGCTTTAGTGTCTAGCTCACTCCAACGCCATGGAGATTGGAAAAGATGAGTTTTTTTCTGGTTAATTATTTGAAAAAAAAAAAGATCAAAACAAAACAATAAACTTGTTAAACATTTCAAATAGATTGTCTTACTGTTACCTCCCAAAACTGATAAACATGTAACTTCTCCTTATAATATCCATACATTATTCAGCAAACAGGTAATGAGAATACTCAAACTTATCAGGTAGAAGTTATCTTGATCAAATGCCAAATTCTTGGAACTAGTTTACTGGCAAATGTGTAGCAGCTAGAGAGGAGAATTAATTAAAACTCAGATCTTGTGGGGTAAAAGGTTAATCATGCAAAACTCACCCACAAAATCTATCTTAAATTTGAAGCGAAGAGAATTGTTTATATTGGCACAATATGAATTGAAATGAATTAGGTGAAAACCTGTGTACATTGATAATTTTTTGCTTTCCCACTCCCAGATCAATTGCTTTACTACACAAATTTTTCAAAGAGAAAAGTATTGGTGATTTGATCTTTAAAATTTTCCTAAGAGATGTACTGTGTAAGCAAACTCTTTTCTCCTGTCTCTTGTATGTGTAGGTGTGGACAGAAAACTACCTGATCAATTCCTTAAATGAAGACTTCCAAGTATCAGTTATAAGTGGAATTCAGAATTTCCCATGGGGTAGTAAAAGTAACATACCAGTCAAAGAATTCTTCTCACGATATTCACAAGAAGATCTGACACTTTATGATGAACCAACAGTTAACATGCTTAATGACATCAAAGTTCCCCTTTGTGTTCAATGTCGTCAATTCATGGGGAAAATGGGAGTCAAGCTTTGGTTACACCACCGCCAGGAGAAAGTGTCAACAGCTTTGTTTTTTCATTCAGATGAACAGCTGCTCAGTGTTCTGAATGGAAGTGCTACAATAATTTTAATTTCACCTCTTCACTCGGAAAAAGTTCCTTTTGATGGAGACAAATTGTTGGCAATTTCCAGGTTTGATACAGGTTGTCATAATTTTTTTTTAAAAAATTTCAAATTAAAAAAAAATTAGTGTTTTCTTAAATCATTATTACTAATATTTTGATTTACTTCTCAAGTTGTATTTCTCTGACTATTTTTAACTAAAATATGCAAAATTTAAAACTGATTCTCATTTTAAACATGAAAATCACTGGTGATCCTTGCAATCTGATTGGTCTTCACTGGTGCAATTTATTTACAAATCACACTATTTTTTGCTCTAAATCACATCTTTTCCCAGCCATTGAGAATCCTTTACTGTAACGTAACAAACAATCAGATCTCAAGGCTTGTTAAATAAAGAGAAACCAATAATAGAAGAGGAAAATGAAAGACAACTTTTGCAACTTTTTGCCAACCAGCTTAGTAATGCATCAAATTAATAAATAATTTCTACATAGTTTACTGAAAAATCCTTTATTTGAGCATCTGAACTTTGGAATTTCAAAATGGATGTGTTAAAGTGGTAATTGAACTTCATGTCAAGCAATTTTGGTGTGAAATCATACTAACCTCACAATTTCAAATCAAACTCGCACTGCACACTCATTTCATTTTGAAATCACTTGTATGATTTCAGACCAAACTGCATGCTACTCAGTTCAATTACCATTTTTTTATAAAAATATGAAAAAGGCAGTTTCCAAGCATGACAAATTTGCTACAAGAGCAAGCTCTAGAGTGAGATCAGAGATTTGGATTTGTTGGTGTAAGAGTTGGAATATGATTGGATTAGTGGGAATTTTCCCCTCCCCTTTTCACAGTATGGTGTGCGCAAGTTTCAATTATTCAACTATCTTCATTTAAACATTGTTCATCTACTAGATATTCTATCATCTAGAGGCATTCCACACTTGACTGTTGACCTTGATGAGGGCGACTTGCTATACATACCACAAATGTGGTGGCAACATGTAACATTTTCAGCAGAGTATAACCTATTTGTACAGTTTCTATGGCCATCAAGAACTTCCAAAAATTCTGCAAAACTACGATCTTCTTCTCTAATAAGAGGTAAAAAATAAATTAATGAGTTATTTTTTCATCCATACAGTTTTGTTGTGCTGTTATTTGAAGAACTGAAACCTGGCGAATCATTGTGTTTATTGGTACTATGATACCACTCAGAAAACAAAAAATGAAGTTTAATTTTGTCAAATTGATCTACTGGAAATAGTCAGAAATCAGTAATTGACTTGTCATTTTATTTTGAGTTACACATTAAATTTTGTACTTTCTCATCACTTCAGTGTATGCAAAAAAAAAATGCATTTAGTTGTCTTAATGGTAGACATATTTAACTAATTAAGAAAAGGTTTTCCTTGCATCCCTGCTATTTAAGAAAGAATCCCTGCTATTTAAGGAAGAATTTGGGAGCATTTGTTTGAAATGGTGGCAGGGAGGGGGCTGAAGCTTATTCAAGGAGGGCAGTTTTTAGAGCGTGGGTGCTTATTCAAGGAAATACAGTATATATTTTCATGACAGGTATCTTAAACATGCACAGAGATTAAATATGTATCCATGTGGCACCAATAAATATTTCTCCATATCTAAGCTCCTCATTTTATTTTCTATGTATGGTGGTGAAGGTGATAACCTGCCAAGTATGCCAGCATCATTTAGAAGTTTACTCAGAAAGTATGAAGAGAAGTTCTTGATGATGGATGTGCAACCACTGGATTGTTCAGACCAAGACAAGAGGATGAGTGAATATACATTTGAAACAGGAAAAATGTCACCAGAAAAATATGAAATTATTCATAATGGCCCTGACTTTACTGAGGTAATGACAGAAATTTGTACCTGTGTGATCACCTTGACCAGGCATTATGTAAAGATTGTCCAATAGTAACTAATTTCTTTCCCAGCTGAATTTATGGACAAAGATAAATTTAAATCAATTAAAAAAAAAAAAAAACATTCAAATAAAAAGAAAAAGGAGACCATCTAGCTAAATACCATTTAACCATGACCTGTTATTAGATCAGTTAGGGATTTATTTTATGGCAAAAAGATGAAAAAAAATTATTTAACAAAGTACTGGGTAAGAAATTAATAACATTTGTTATGGTTTTCTTAAATCTGACAGAGCTGAGTGTGATTCCATCTTAAAAACTGCTTGAAAAAGTTTACTAGAAGTTCTGAAGGATGTAATCAGACTAAAAGCAATTTTTTTTCACACTGGACCAAAGTGGGCTCATGTTGACTACAACCATAGTAATCTGTTAAGACAATACTTATTATCATGTCTCCTTTTTATCTCACAGGAGGAAGCCTGCAACTTTGATATGAATAACCTACAAAGCCCCTGCCATTTTGCATCCTGTTTTAAAGATCCAGAATCACCAATTTGTATTCGTTACATTCTAGACTATTGCGGGCACTGGCAAGATCGAGGCTGTGCCATAGAACTACCTCAACTGTTAAACAAGGTGGACAAGAATTTAATGACGCAGATTATGTCCTTGAAATCCTCCTACAAATAGACTATTTAATTGACCATGATAACAAAAATTTTAGTGATAATGTCAGGTAACAGAAGAGGCACATATACCTCACTTGTTAGTCTGCTGAATTTCACCAGCTACTGCCAAGCTGAAAACCATGTAGATCTATCCAATGTGAAACTTGAAACCCTTTAAAGCCTTTTCTTCCTGCAAAATTCACTTTCTTCAAAATTTAAGAAACCTCATTTCTGTACTCATAACGGAAAATTTCATGTACCCAGGGTTCGACACTAACTTTTTAACTTACAAGCCAAGTGGCTAGTGACATCTTAGATGTTACGACAATTTGTGACAGTTTGTTTACTAGCCAAACAGGCTGGTGGAAATTGAAAACTATGAGCCAAAACTGAATTTCTACTAATCTGTGGCTAGTTGGCTACCAGTAATCTGAATTTAAGGCAAAATCAACAGATTACCCATGGGTAAACAGCCGGAAATTACAGTAATAAAAGTGAACAAAGGCCAACTGTTCATACAAGCTAATACACCATGTTTAAAAATAGTAGAAAAACATTTTAGATGCTAACTGTCATCTTATTTATAACAAAAACAATATTTTAATGATAACTGAATGATGTTTCTGCAATTCTACACCTCATTCTGTAAGTAAGTCTCAGCACTGAATTACAATCTTGTAAATTGGGACTTGTGAAGAAAACTATTTTTAAAATTCCAAGTCTTCCCTAAAGCATGAAAGTATTACTAGTAACATAATAAATGGGAGCAAAGAATTTAATTGCAGCTCTATGTGCATAATGTTCTTCAGCAAATTTGATGAATTTTGAAACTAAACAACTTAATTATGGCATTTCAGGACTTGGTACCTCGAGGGTTTTTTTCCAGGCTTCTTTACTTACAATAACCAACCTATTTCTCATCAATTACTTTTATTAGTTAGCAAGTCAAACTTTACATTTGAATTCCAGGATTTTTATAACATCATCCTGGTATTTTGGGTGAAGTTCATTTCTTGGGACCTGCAAAAGATAAGTAAGGCTGGTATTAATTAACTATGCACTGACATTACTTGATTATTTTCCAGTGTACTTTCTGACATTATTCCAGTTTTGGTGCATTGTGAATGTAGCCTACGGCTCTGTCAATAAAATCTATTTGACAAGGCAGGATGATGCATCATGTTTGCAACAGAGTAATCATACAGATTTCGTTGAAAAGGAAGGCAAATAACAGTCAGAATTGAAGATGAAGATTCAGTATTACTTAATGGTCAATCATCACACAATTATTTTGAAATTCTATTGGCATTTGTTTTTATTCCCATAAATAAACAATAGCCTCCATTTGGTGTGAAAATAAGCAAGGATATGTTGCAGGTAAAAATTAAATTCAGTTAAAAAAAATTTTAACCTAGGTTGAATTTCAATTCTCTTTGTCTCCAAGCCCTAATTGTGAATAATTAGGGCTTGGAGACAAAGGAAATTGAAATTCAACCTAGGTTAAAATTTTTTTACCTGAATTTAATTTTTACCTGCAACAGATATTTTTCAGTAGATATTATCTGTTGCGAGATGCAAACAGTTTTCCTGTGAGCTTTGAGGAACAGACAATGTCCAAGGACAAATATGCAACCATATTTTTGTGCCAAATGAAGGCTATTGTGTTTATCGTGCAGGACAAAATCTTTAAGAACACCTAACCATTTAGAGTGTGGGATGTTCAGTGTCCTCTGATACTTCAAACCATATAAGGGTGACCCCTTGATAAAGGTTGACTACCCCATGAACAAAAAATTACTCAAAAATACAACCAACATTGATTTCAGGAGAGAATTATTGACTCAGTTTACTTGAAAGATTATTCTCTGTTTGAGTGGTTCTGATTTAAGTGACCATTCAATACAGGTGGAAGACTACGTACTATACAAACATACCATTAAGACTCACTCAAACGTGACCATGAACCCCAGGGGGGGGGGAGGACTCCCATAAAAAGCAGACGGGGAAGCTCGTCATCTTGCTTAGGGGTGTAAATTTTGGATTTTGGTCTTGCTAAGGGTGTTCCAGGCAAAGTACCAATATTTTAAGCCGCTAAGGTCTCGTTTAGGGTTCTGCGAAGAAATACAGAATTATACAAAGAGAAACAGAAGTAAAATTCTCTTTTTAACATGTTTTGTTTACCGTATTACCTCAACATTAACTAGTTTTCTATTTTACCAAGTGCCAAAGAGACAATGCATGAACATGAGCAGTCTCTGTTAGGGGTCAAAATTTGCTTAAACCATGCCAAGATGGTCTCCTTTAAGGGTTAAATTCAAAATTTCCGACGAACATCCCTGTCTGTTTCATATGGGAGTCCCCCCCGGGCCATGAACCCTTTTAACAATTGGATAATCAAAGTTTGACCATACCACCAATTAAGCACTGTTTCTGATTTGCATACCTCATTGCAGTCATAACCTTGACTTGCCATTGTTTTCACAAATGCTCCCTCACCTCCACGATTTCTTCCCATCGAAACATAGATGCGTGAACCAGATTTTGATAACTTTGGAATGCACTGAGCCAGCCGCATGGAGTCGTCTGCTGAATAAAGGCACTCCGCTGCTAGAATCAGATGAAATAGACCATCTTTTGTCAAATCTTCTGTGTTTTTTCCCCAACAATATTCCATAACCTTGATTCTACTCCGACAAACTTCAGTCACATTTGCTGCTACGTTGTCTTCAACAGTTTTTACACAACATTTCTGGTCAGTTAGAATGGTCATTTTTGCACCTAACAAACTCAAATAAATTCCAACCAAACCGCAGCCAGCTCCAAGTTCTAAAACTCGACATTCCTGCAAATAATGTATAGGAAATAGATCTCGATTATCGAACATTTTAGCGAGCGCAATACTTCCATCCCAAACAGTTGTTCCAAGAGCTGTGTAGCTCTGTCGAAGTTTTATGACAGACTTGTAATTGTAGAGTTTGTTGTCCCCCTCTCCAGATCGATCAGCGTAAGAACTTCTGTCAATTTCAAGTTCAAATGTTTTTTCAAACCGTTGTTTTTCAGGTTTGTACTCTTGTCGAAGCCACATGGTTAACTAGGATTACTCCAACTCAGTAGGGCCAGCAGAACCCCAAAGAACACGACAAAATACTATCTG